CACCATTTTACATTCCCACCAGCAATGCATTTCTCCACATTCTCACCAACACTTTTCTTCGTTCCTTCCTTTCTCCGTCCTTTCTTCCTTCCTTCCTTTCTTTCTGCCTTTCTTTTCTTTTTTTTTTTATATAATAGCCATCCTAATGAGAATGACATGGTATCTCACTGTGGTTTTGACGTATGCATTTATTTTTAAAATGCTCTATGTCCTTGGTTCCTGCTTTTATATTGGTTCTTTGTTTACTTTTCATTCTTCTTGGCTGACTCCTCTTTCTGCGTTTTTAATGTGGGTTTCCCTGGGCTCCTCCTCAGCCTCTCCTGCCTTCTTTGCACACAGTCCCTGGAGACTTCATTCACGTCCATGATGGAAGTACCACATCCATGCTGGTAACCCACAAATCTGTATTTCCGTAGTCAGGACCTCTCTCTAAACACAGTATTGCCTTTAAATCATCATCTTTGGAAATTAAGAGTGCTAAGTTTAAAACTTGATTTTAAATATGGACATTTTGATGGTCTGTTGCTGGTGAATGAGATTAGGGAGGGAGGAAAAAAGAAAAGACTCACATTTTTAAAAATTGTGGTAAAAACTCACATAACATAAATGTATTATAACAACCATTTTAAAAACAGACTTTATTTTTTAGAGCACTATTAGGTTCACAGCAAAACTGAGCCAAAAGTACAGAGATTTCTCATAGACTCCTTCCCCCAACACACATACAGCCTCCCCCATATATCAAAATCCCCTACCAGACTGGTGCATTTGTTACAGTTGATGAACCAACATGCACACATCATTATCACCAGACTCCATAGATTACATTAGGATTCACTCTTGATGTTGTATGTTCCATGAGTTTGGCCAAATGTATAATGACATGTAGCCACCATTACAGTATCATGCCAAGTAATTTCACTGCCCTAAAAATCCTCTGTGTTCCACCAATTTATCCCTCTCGTCCCCCAACCCTTGGCAACCACTTTCTTTTAACTGTCTTCATGGTTTTGCCTTTTCCAGAATGTTGGAATCATATAGTAGGTGGCCTTTTCAGATTGGCTTCTTTCACTTGGTAATATGCATTTACGTTTCCTCCATGTCTTTTCATGTCTTGACAGCTTATTTCTTTTTAGCACTGAGTAATATCCCATTGTCTGGATGTACCACAGTTTATTTATCCATTCACCTGCTGAAGGACATTTTGGTTGCTTCCAAGTTTTGACAATTATGAATAAAGCTGCTATAATCATCTGTGTGCAGGTTTTTGTGTGAACATAGATTTTTAATTCATTTGGGTAAAATTAAGGAGCATGACTGCTGAATCATATGGTAAGAGAATATTTAGTTTTGTAAGGAACTGTCAAACTGTCGTCCAGTGTGGCTGTATCATTTTGTATCTCCCTAGCAATGAATGAGAATTCCTGTGGCTCCATGTCCTCATTAGTATTTGGCATTGTTAGTGAAAAAAAGAATGAATATGCTGGGCATTATTAAAATTTAGAAACTTTGCTTCTGCAAAAGACACTTGTAAGAGGATGAGAAGAAAGCCATTGACTGAGAACATATTTGTAAAAGACATATCTGATAAAGAACAGTTATCTAAAATATACCAGGAACTTTTAAACCTCAACAACAAGAAAACAAACAACCCAACTGAAAAATGGCCAAGCAGCCTGAACAGACACTTTGCCAAAGAAGATAAAGAGACAGCAAATACGCATAAGGAAAGATGCTCAACATAATATGTTATGAGGGAATTGCAAAATTAAAACAACATGAGATACCACTACACACTTATTAAAATGGACTTTATCTAGCATAGCCATTTTTTAGTGTACAGTTCAGTCATGTTAAGTATATTCACACTTTTGTGCAACCGATCTCCAGAACTCTTTTGATCTTGCGAAACTGAAACTATACATGCATTGAACAATGACTCTGCATTTCCCCCTCCCCCAGCCTCTGGCAGCCACCATTCTACTTTCTATTTCTATGAATTTGACTACATTAGTTACCTCATATAAGAGACACATACTGTATTTGTCCTTTTGTGACTGATTTATTTCACTTAGCATAATGTCCTCAAGGGTCATCCATGTTGTAGCATTTGACAGGATTTCCCACTTTTTTTTTTTAATTTAAAAAAAGTATTGGACTCACAGACATAGAAAACGAACTTATGGTTACCAGGGAGGAAAGGAAGTGGGAAGGGATAAATTGGGAGTTTGAGATTTGCACATACTAACTACTATATATAAAATAGATAAGTAAAAAAGACCTACTGTATAGCACAGAGAACTATATTCAATACCTATAATGAAAAAGAATATGAAAAGGAATATATGTGTGTATATGTATGACTGAAACATTATGCTTTACACCAGAAATTGACAGACCATTGTAAACTGACTATACTTCAATTTAAAAAAAAGTGAAATAGAAAAAAAAAGGTATTAGAGTTTTCAAGTAGATACTATATGCTGTGCTGGCCTTTTGTTTCACTTGCCCCTACTCAGTCATTCCCCACCCTTCTCTCCCTGCCATGAGTCCCAGGAGGCTGACCTCTACAGGTTGCCTGCCCCTGGCCCTCTGGTTTCTGGTTGCAGTTTGGTTGGCAAACGGGAAGCACCATCCAGAGACCAAAGGGCATGAGGTATTCATTTGTTCCCACACATAAGCACCACTGTTCAGTCAGTGGCTGCTCTGATTCCTCTTCCTCAGCACAAGCTCACTCTTGGTTCCCTTAACACCCTTCCCCACCCCGACTGTACCCACCTCGCCCCTGCAGGCCTAGGACCAGGAACAACTTCCTGCTGTTGCTAGTCCCTACACGCTTTACCATCCCTTGTCTTGTTCCTTTAACATCACCCATACACTGGTGAATCACCTCTTTATTAAAGTCTTTTCATTAGACCCTTTTGAGTATGCCATCTGCTCACAGGACTCCTGCTGTGATCCTGAGTCAAACATGTAGCTATAAAAAAAAGATTAATGGTGTAGAAGGCTTAGAAGTGAAAAACAAAAATCTGTTTCTACCCCATAGCCCTTAATTCCCTTCCATTCCATCCCATGCCCAGTTACCATTCATTTGCTTGGGGCTTTTGCAGGGAGGTGGGGTAGGATGGACCTTGATCTCACCTCTTGGGTGAACTCTAACTGGTCTTAGACGATCATGTTAAATCCTCTCTTGCTGGTACCTGGGTCAGAAAGCCAGGCCTCAGCTATCCAGGCAGGGTATTTCCCTGTCTCAGGAATCAGGCTGAGAGTGAGTTCATGAGTCACTGCCATGATGCAGTTCAGGCCAATGAGATGCAAAGGGAAATTTTCACAGGGGTTTCCTCTCAAGAGAACCATGATAGGAGATGAGGCCCCAAACTGCTGGAGCCAGTCAGAGAAGTCAGCAGAGGAGGCTGTGCCAGGAGAATCCGGGAAACACAGTGGGCTAGTGGATTAAGCCACAAAAACTAAACTCTAAACACAACCAGCCTCTACATTTTGAATTATGGGATCTAATCAATTTCATGATTATCTGTTTACTTAACAAAAGCGTCCTAACCAGTGCATGTGTATACTGTAAAAAACACATACCTAAATGGGATTGTATCATGGATACTATACTGCAAATTGCTTTTTTCACTAAATCATATGTCCTAAACATCTTTCCAAGTAAGCACATTTAGCTCTGCTTTGTTATTTTAAATACTGGGTAATATTTTGTCAAAAGGAAACATACTTTATTTAGCCTTTCTCCTACTGAAGAACATTTATGTTGTTTGCAGCTTTTCCCTATTACAAACAGTGACACATACTTTGGTGTGTCCGTATTAATATGCACATAAGCAAATTCTTAGTAGAATTGCTTGGTCAGTAAGTCTGAGAATTTAAAATGTTCATAAATACTACTATATTGCCTTCTAAAAGGTTTCATCAATTTACAGTCTTATTACGAATACACGAGCATACTTACTTCTTCACACTCCTACCAATACTGTGTATTGATAAAAGTTTAAACCTTTGGTAATCAGATGAAAATTGTATCTCATTAGTGTATTAATATTTTCTCTCATGAGTGAGGTCAAAGCATTTTTATGGTTGTGGTTATTTTTTTGTAAGCTATTTCTATTCTTTGCCTACTTTTCTATTTAACAAAAGGATATTTGTTTCATGCTAAGAGTTTTTCCTTTACTCTAAGATTATTACTTAAACTCACCAATGTTTTCCTCCAGTAATTTTATGTGCTTATTTTTATATTTAAGTCTCTGATCCAAGTTAAAAGTTTTCGTACTATACAAATCTGTACTCTTTAAGTTTTTTGCTATAATGAGCATATATAAGTGTTACAATTTTTAAAAATATGATCACTAGCTAGTATAGTACGGATATATCTTTCTATGAAAATCTTGACAAAAACAAAACCGATAACAGATGTAATTTTTAAAAAATCAATATGGCAAAAGAGTAAAACTAGGCTTCCCATATTTTGCTTTGAAATTTGAAAGATCACCATATGTGAGCCTCCCTCTGCTATGTCTAAACTACTCTTGCATGTGTACACACTGTTCAGCACATGAGGACTGCCAGCGTGTTACTGATGGCCCCCTCCTTAATCTTGATCTCAATCCACAGGAAAAAAAAAAAAAGGAAGAAAAGATGTCAAGAGAAAGAGTCATCGAGTAAGATTAAAAACTTGCTGGAAGCAGAAGCAACATTTACTGCCAGGCAGTAACAACTCTTCTTGAAACGTCTGGACTGTCCAATAGTACAATTCATTTCTTGACTCATATCCCATAAAAACTCTTCAAAGTTCTCTGTGCCTCCAGCCCATAGCCCCAAAGTGCATCCACTACGCACAAGGTCAAGAGTTTGGGCTCTGGGGCCAAACTGCTCGATTCACACTGGGCTCTGCCACTTAACCAGCTATGAAACACATTGCAAACATCTCTGGACCTCAGTTTTCTCACCTGTAAAATGGGGATAATAACAATAATAAGACTTACCTTGTGTAGATGTCCTGTGAATGGGCTGTCTGAGGTAATACACATCAAGCACTTAGCATAGAACCTGGAATATAATAGTGCTCAATAAGTATTAGCCATTATCTTTATTAGAGTCTAATTAAGTCTATCTGAGCCTCAAGTCCCTGTAGAAGTCCAAGGGAATATCAGAAAATTAGGAATTAGGAGATATTCCAGTTGTTCTGTTGTTTGACAGGTTTGGGACGGTCATGCCACGTCTGTCTTTCTCCTTTGCTAAGCTATAATATGTGGACAATTAGTTTCTTATTACAATTAACTACTAATTGTAAAGACAGTAAATATGCACTTTGAGGGCTACTATTATTAAAGTGGTTCTTATTCACCTGACTTAAGACATGCTGTTTTTTCCTCCAACTGACTCAGTGTTCTACTCACTGCAATTGTGCAATAACATTAGAGAAAGTTGTTGCATCATTTCAAACCTGCTTACTGATGCTAAGATCCCACTCTGTAGTGGGGAAAAAAAAAATCTTAGTCATAGTAAGGCAATGGCACCATAATGGAAAGGAAAGGGAAAATGTCGTACTTGGTAAACTGTGCAACTGAGGCGTATTTTGTGATAATTCTCTCAACAATCTTGTGAAGCTAGCACTTGATAAAATTGTCCTATGGTGTTCCCCTCTCATAGAAAAGCAAACTAAAACTTTGCAAGATCACATGACTGGCAGAGATCATTAGAGCTCATTTTAGAAAACTGCTTACCACATTTACGTGTAGATACAAGTTTTTTCTTTTTATTTAAATAGAGTTATGCAATTAAAATGCATTTTTTATTCCTTTTTATGTGTAGCACATTTAATCTTTGGTGCACTCTATTATGGCGGAATTCTTTGGCTCATTTCTTAGAATCACTAATTTATACTTGGATGTATTTATTTTGCTATTTTGGTTTATCTACTAGGACTTTCATTTCAAAGATCATGTTTTGTGTTTTCAAGAGCAACAGTTGATTCTTTAATTAAAAACTGCCTGCTGTTATGGGCATAGTATCCTCTCCTATTTCTGAGGTTATTGATTATAGTTAATTTAAAATTTTATTTGCTCTATTAACTGTTTCCTTGGGTATTCATGCTTAAATTTATTGGGTTTGGTGCCCATCTTTCATGGTGTTGGTTTTCCTTAAAAGCCTGGTGATTCTTGGTTTGCTGTTTGTCTTTGCGTTTGAGCAGCCCTGTCCGTGGGAGCTGGTTCTGTTCCTGGGAGCTGTGCCTGGTCACTGTGGACACGCCAGGCCACGGGAGCTGAGAGGAGCTCTCCAGGTGTCTCCTACTACCCCTCCAGTTCACTACTCTCTGAAACAATGTTTCTCAGCCCTTTTATCTTTATTATCCTCCGAAGAAGCCTTTTTTAGACTCCTTTTCTCCTAACCACTGCTTAAGCTCAATGAATTTTAGTATCACAGATATGCCATATATCTGCTTATTTACTGTGGTCCTTTGGAGGGCCACAAATTTTTGCAATATCTAAGGGTTTTTTGTTTGTTGTTGTTCCTCTCTCCCCACCCTCACCCCAAAACCAACTTCTGCTGCACCGGGAGCGGTAACGTACACACACCCAGCTGAAGATGCACGTTCTGAAGACTGTCCCTGCCTTTCTGCACCAAGCACCCTAGAGGTAAATGCTCTTCCTGCCTTCTGTTTAGAAAGCAGTAACCCAAAGAATTCTTCCCCTTCATCTTCCAATGGCTCTGAGCTTAGCACATTCGAACATTCCCTGAGCCAGTCTTCCCTCTAAGGTCTCTGATGCACTAGGGTTTTTTTTTATTGTTGTTGTTTTTGTTTATTAATAGACTATTTTTTAGAGCAGTTTTAGGTTCACAGCAAAATTGAGCAGGAAGTAAGACGGTTCCCACATACTCCCCCTCCAGCCCACATACAGCCTCCCAATCAATGCCTGCATCAGTGTGTTTCATTGGTTACAGTCTGCACTAGGTTTTTCTTTACCCCCTGCAAAGAAGGTATTAGTTTTAATGCTGTTTAAACACAATAATAAACAAACAGGCTCACACCTTATCCTGTACTATTCTCTGTACCGTACCTACATTAACTCATGCTGCCCCCAGTGACCCTATGGGGCATCCCTGGGAGATATCACCCCTGCTTCTCCTGGTCACACCCACTCCCATCCAAATGAGCAGATCCTGCCAACTGAACCTTCAGAACTGATGGGAATCCCCTGTTTTCTCCCTCCCCCACTGCACCCACCCTGCTCCTGTCCACCCTCATCTCCCACTGGACTCTCCTGTCCTCCTCCTCCCAGGTCTCCCTCTTCCTCCTGTGTCCTCTCCACACGCAGCCCGAGGGACCCTGTGGACACCTGGGTCAGATCACATCCCTCCCCTGCTCAGAGCCCTACTGCGGCTCCGGCTCAGTCAGCCAACTCCTGCCCAGGGTCCTGCAAGGCCCCTCACGGTCTGCCCCTGTTACTTCCTGACCTCGTCTCCCCACTTGCCCCCTGCTTTCCCCGCTGTGGCCCGTGTCCAAAAACACACCAGCTTTCTGTCAGAGAGCAGTGTGTGCCGTGCAGTGAGAGGAAAGGCTGGTGGGGGGCGGGGCAGGAATATGTTTCAAGGCAGACACAGCACTTGCTCATGTACACTAAGCAGGATGTCAGAAGGCTCAGAGATAACCGGATTCTCTTCTGCAGACATTCCTGGAGCATTTGCTGTGTCCTAGCCCAGGAACGCAGGAGATACAGTGGTGATGGAGGCAGCCCTGGGCCGTGCCCTCTTGGAGCGCCCAGATCAGGGCTTTGAGGTGCATCCTCTCTGTCTGTAGCACGGATGCTATCTCACACCCAAATGTCACCCTCCCCTCCACACCCGTGTCAGCTCCCGGCCCTGCTCTCCATTTCCATGTGTCCTTATACCTCAAGACAGCAGAATCCTCAAACGGGATGAGAGATTCCTGGAAATGTCTTTCTAGTGGCGTGCCCTTGAGCAAGACTGTTCACTTCTCAGTGCCTCAGCGTCCTCATCTGTATGGTGGGCACCATCACCATGTCTCCCTCCTATGTAAGAGGCTCCCACGAGATATTCATGTCAAGCTAGCCCAGATTCCCCAAGCAGGGCGCAGGTCTATTTTGTGAGTGTCAAAAAGAACGTACTTAACAAAGGTTTGCAGAGTGACTAAGTGAGTGGAATATCTCACAAAGGGCATGGCCCATGAGAAGCACTTGGCATTGGTGGAAAAAATAGGTTCATAAACAAAGTGTCCCTCTCAGTGCCTGCCACGTACTAAGCTCTTGAAAAATATCAGGTGACTTTCAGGCCTTGCCTGGATGTCTCACCCATGGGAAATATTTAATGTTATTTGCCAAAGAGATAATTGACCCAAACTCCTGATACCCATCTGACGCATAGTAGCCTTCAATGCAACTATTTCCCACCTCTGGCCCTTGCAACTCCAGCTTTCCCAAAACTCATCGCATATCCATCCCTGATTTAATACCCTGATTCCCTCGGGGCCATGGCAGAAGGACGCAAGGCCCAGGGGGGATGACCCTCACCCAGCCTTGCCTCCCAGCTCGAGCCCTCCACTTAGCATAATTTAGGGATGTGTTGAGGCCACGGAGAAAGCCAGACCAGGACATCACGCCACCTGCAGCGGCCCTATGTCAGGAGTTAAGAGACTCAGAAAGGAGGAGATGGGGAAAGTGGCTGTAGTCAGGGGAGGGACCAAATTCTCCCCATCCCTTCTGGTTAAATCCCAGACTGTGTAACCACAACCCCTAACGCTGCTAGCAGAAAGTCCCTCCTTAAGTTTAGCTTCGCTCTGAGTAAGCTCTCCTCTCCAGGATCCAGCAGCTCTGCCCACATACAGGAAGAAAAGGGGCACTGAGGAGAGGCCCGGAAAGGTTTAGAGGACCGGAGCACTTTGCCGACCTTACCAACCCTTGCCCTAAGTTTTAAACTGAAGTTTGCTCTGTTAATCTGATGATATAAGCTTTCAATATTCTAGAGTTTTTCAAAAACTCAGACCTACTGATAGTATATTCTGTTATTTTCAAACAATAGTATGCATTCTTCGTTGTCTTTATAATTTTTGTAATTTTGAGGGACAGGGGCAGGTGGGTAGGGAGATCTTTCTTTATAATCCTCAAGTCAATCTCCTAGAGAGAGTCTTGCCATGATTTTTATAAAAGGAGGTTGGGATGGTAACTAACTCCCATAGACTGTTATTTTAAGTTGTACCAGTGACCTTCCAATTTATAGCCCAATTATTTTTCTAAATTCTAAAAGGCAGGCAAACTATTCTTAACTAAATATTCAACATTTGTAATAAATGGTATGCATTAGCCTATATATGATAAAGTAGCATGGCTCTATTTTTGTGAGTTCTTTAACGTACTGTAGTTATGATTGTTGAGGCTTGTGATATACTTAATTTATATACTGTATTAAAATTATATATCGATAGTATACATTAAAGCAAATTTATAGAAAAAGGTCACAAAGATCACTAAGGCCATGAAATTCTATTTCTATTGCCCCATAGTCACTTTTCATCTGTCAGTATATATGTATACATATTGCATATTTTATGTATACTATTTTGTGCTGTTTTGTTACTCAGTGTGTGTGTCTGTATGTGTCTTGTGTGTGTAACAAGTCTGTATGTGACTTGTAATTTACAAGTCTACAAGGTTGCCAATTTTTACCACCCATATAATTATTAAACAGGATGGAATCACCATGTTTACTGGTATCCTGTGGTTTTAAGATCTGAAACTATTTTTATATTGTGTCAAAGAGCATGAATACTGTCAAGCAGGTTTCAAAAAAAACTTACATCAATTCACAATGCACCTTCAGCCCTCCCAAACACTGAGTTCAAAGTTTTTTATTCTTTGGGACGTTTTTTAATTGGCTTTTTTTTTACATCTGCAACTGCATTTGCCCACTTAGTGACTTCCTATCTGTATTGCTGCATGTATAAAAGTGTTTGTGGCAGATTGTCTTTTCCTAATCTATCTGTAACAGCCAAGTCATCCCATACCTTCTCCTTGGACACTACTCCCATTGCAAGATGAGCTCCACACTCTTCCCCTCGATTTTGGGTGGCCCT